ATGAATACCTTTCCCCTAGACACAGCCCAAGGTTCCTTCCATTATTTCAGGAGACAAAAAAGGTGACTAGGGAGAAGGCCTGAGACTCTGGGACAGAGTGGGCTCCTTAAAAATTGCCGTGATCCCAGCAGAGGCTGAGACAGGCAGATCTCTGTGAGTGAGTTCGAGGCCAGCCTGGTCTACAGAGAGAGTTCCAGGACAGCCAGGACTACACAGAGAAACCCTGTGTCCAAAACAACCCACCAAACAGAATCATACAAAATAGAATAGCCAGCAGGTGTGCTAGCACACACCTATGGTCTCGGTGCCTAGGAAGTGAGATGGGAAGCTCCTGGGTTCAAGGCCAGCCCCGGCTAGAGAGAGAAAAAATTGTGTTAGGAGGAGAAAGAGAGACGACGGTGTCAGGAGCAATGAGAGCAAGGCAGGAAGAGGAGAGAGCCCACGTCTGGCACCCAGGGTTCTAGATCTTACTAGAACTGGTTTGTCTTACTCAGTAGGCAGCTGGTTTCACGTCACTGTTTAGGACCCAGGTTCTCCCCACATCACTACTGCTTCCTCAGCCGAGGAAGCAGGTGTTTGTTCTTGCAGTGTTAACTAGGACAGTTACATCCTACAGACTCCAAGTCAGTACTCTGAACCTTGACCTCAACCTCTGTGACATCAGTCATTGTATCAGCTGGCTATACCACACACAAAAGCAAGTTTCGTGCCTTACAACACAAATTTTGTGGTAGGGGAGATGGGTCAGTGGATGAAAGCATTTACTGTGCAAACATAAGGACCTGAAAATCTGCATGCATGCACACATGCACACACACACACACACATGAACACATGCACACACACACACACACACACACACACACACACACACACACACACACCCCGATAGCAAAATGTGCAGCACTACTGCTGTGTCATAGCACTTGCATTAGCAGGCAGAGACAGGCGTAACGAGTCCCCCAGTGCCTGCCTTGAGGAGATCCCTATCAGGGTCCAGAACAGATGCTACAAGTGGCTGAGGATGCTAATCTGAGGAATATCAAATGAATCTAAGCACACTGAGTTCTTTAGTCCATTCACTTTATTCTTCTAGGTCAATTCTATCCACACAGTTTCAGCTCTATCCTCACATTCAGCTCCTCCCTGTGCCCAGTTTTCCTGTCCTCATGGTTTTAGTAAGCTCCTGTGCTTTTGACCTCATCTTCGTCCTCTGTTCCTTCATCCTCCATCTCCCCTTCCTAACTCCTTACTCCTGGCCCTGATAAACTTTACAAGAGATCTGCCTTATCCTTGACAGAATATCTGTCTTCTCCTCTCTCAGGCCATGCAGTTCTGTGTCTGCCTCTGGAATTCTGCTCCAGTCCTTACAGCACCTGGTTATACAAAAAGTCCTATTGTCCCCAGTCAATCTCTCTGTCATGACCCCAGCCTGAGGGAAGGGGATGGTCTGAGCACAAGAAATAAAGCTGTGCATCTACAGCCTGCTTGTCTCCTAGGCTCAGTGGGAGAGTTAGTTACCTAAATGTTCAGCAGATCTAGGACGCTTAGCTGTTTGCCAAATGGTCTACAGTATTTGGGCACGCAAGAATCTCATAGCAGAAGACAGCTGAAATATTAAAAACTGGATAACACCAAATATTCCATAATAAATGGCTTACCTCTAGAAAAATACCTTGAAATTTCTAGGTATAGCTTTAATATCCAGCTGAATTTCTATAAGACAGGCAGGTCCCAAGAACCAAAAACCATGAGCTTTAGGCTCAGAGAGAGACCCTGTCACAAGAGAGCAGACAAACAGCAACTAAAGAAGAGCACCAGGGGTCCTGCTCTGGCCTCTGCATGTACTTGTGTACTGAGCACACACCTCACCCCCGTGCACGGAGCACACACCTCACCCCTGTGCACGGAGCACACACCCCACCCTTGTGTACTGAGCACACACACACACCCCCTGTGTACTGAGCACACACCCCACCCCTGTGTACTGAGCACACACCCCACACCTGTGAATGGAGCACACACCCCACCCCAGTGCACGGAGCACACACCCCACACAAGAGCCAAAGGCTAACGACCTGAGTTTGACCCCGGGATCCACGTGGTGGAGACAGGAAAGGACTCCGACGAGTTTCCTCTGACTTTCACACGAGCCCACACAGGCCCACAAATAAATGAATAGAATCGATTTGACTGAGGATCAGCCTGTATTAAATAAAACATACCATTTTTTAAAACTTAGCACTCTAGCACAGGCAGGCTGCATGGCTCTGTGCTCAGTGTCCCACAAGGCCAATCAAGGAGTCAAGCAGGCTGGGCTCTTTTCTGAAGACTGCAGGGAGAGTCCATTTCCAGCTCTGTCTACTCTATCAACACATGACATTGCTTGGTCCCGACCACGGTGAAGCTGAGGGGGAGACGGGAAGTCCGCTAGGGTATGGTGGCCTACCTGTGACTTCTAAGCCATCCATGGCTCCGTAATAACTCTATCAAAATGCAAACGCGCGCGCGCACACACAAAACAACATTAATAGGTCTGGAGAGATGCCTCAGCAGTTAAGGGCACTTGCTGCTCTTGCAGAGGACCTGGGTTTGGTTCAAACCTCTAACTCCAGTTCCAGGTGATCAGACACCCTTTTCTGGCCTCCACAGGTACCAGAAATGCCTGTACACGGTACACATACATATGTACAAGCAAGTCATACACACAAAAATAAATAAAATCTTTCTTTAAAAAAGCCAGGCATAAATAAATCAAATTAATTAATTAATTAATTAAAAAAAAAAAGCCAGGCATGGTAGCACATTGTATGTCTTTAGTCCTAGCACATGGGTGGAAGAGGCGAGTGGATCTTGTGAGTTCAAGGGCACTCTGGTGTATATATAGCAAGTTCCAGGCCAACCAGTGAGACCCTCTTAAAAAATAAAAATAAAATGTAAAGAGACAGTAGGTCCCTCAGTATGCCTCTTTTTTTTTTTCACTCCCCTTGGTTTTTCTTTCTTTCTTTTTTTTTCTTTTTTTTTCTTTTTTTTTTTGATTTTTCAAGACAGGGTTTCTCTGTGTAGCTTTGTGCCTTTCCTGGAACTCACTTGGTAGCCCAGGCTGGCCTCGAACTCACAGAGATCTACCTGCCTCTGCCTCCCGAGTGCTGGGATTAAAGGCGCGCACCGCCGCCGCCACCACCACCTGGCTCCCCTTTGGTTTTTCAAGACAGGGTTCCTCTGTGTAGCCCTGACTGTCCTGGAACTCATTCTGTAGACCGGGCTGGCCTCAAACTCACCTGCTTCTGCCTCCTGAGTGCTGGGATTTAAAGGCACCACCACTGCCCAGCTTTTTTCTTTTGTTTTTTAAAAAGTGTTTGCTTTTCTATTTGGCTGATTTTATTTATTTTATGTGCATGAGTATTTTGCTTGCATGTACGGTTACCACCTGCTTGCAGAGGTCAGAAGAGGACATCAGAGCCCCTGGTACTGGAGTTGCGGATAGTTAGCTACCGTGTGGGTGCAGGAATTGAACCTGGGTCCTCTGCAAGAGCAATAACTCCAGCCCTGGACTGGCTTCCTTATACAGCCCAGGACCACCTGCCCGGGGAACTCTTCTGCCCACAGTAGGTTGAGCCCTCAGTCCAGTCAGTCCCCACAGACATGCACCAGGCCCATCTGATCTCTCTTCCCAGGTGACCCTAGCAAGGCTGCGTCACATTGACAATTGAAGCCAACGATGGAGGACCAGGCAGACGTGTCAGTCACAATGAAGGCTGTCACTCTAACAGTCCCAAGGTTTCCGTGGTTCAAACCAAAATGGGTCAATTCCCTGCTGTCTACCTCCTGTTTTGTGGACTTAGAGATAGGCCTGAGGAAGCTAGGTGCCATGGCTCATGGCAACACCAGTGCGGCAGCGGCTGGGCCAGGAGTATGAGTTCCGGCCCGCCTGGCTGTTTAGCGGGAGCCTGCCTCTACACACCAAAGAAAGGGTGGGCTTGGAAAAGACTGGCTGGCCCCACTGTCACCAGCCTTGGGTGGCAAAGTGAAGGGATGCATGGAGGACCCCCGTACTGTTAGTGAGTCCTCCAAGTGGCAGGTCACTGTGCTCATACCCCCGTCTTAAAGGACCACAATCCTGCTGCCCCAGCCTGGAGCCCCAGTGGCCCCCATGAGTGGGATGAGGAGCTAGAAACGTGTTACAACAAAAGTCCCATTGCGAGCAGGGGAAGTAGGGTGGAGAGGGCTGGTAGCCTCTGTCAGGTGTGTCACGGCAGCCTGGGCTCCTGTCCCAGGTCACTAGGTTTCTTCTCTGTGTTCCGTTACTAATGACATACCCCAAACTAGATATGTTTGCTCTGGAGGCAGAGACAGGTGAATGACAGCCAAGACTCACCTCTGACCTCCGCATGCATGCCCACACATAAACACGCGCAGTCACATACTCTCTGTGTGTGTGTGTGTGTGTGTGTGTGTGTGTGTGTGTGTGTGTGTGTGTGATATTTATACGTCTCCAACCTAATTGATACACTTTCCTGGTCCCAACTGTCAGCTGCCTCAATCACAGAACAAGGTGTCATTCCGGGCATTTTTGTGTGGTTCAGTGGTGTAGCTCTTCCCTAGTATCCTCAAGGTCCTGGGTTCCATCCCCAGCCCCCAAAGTAGCCCCCTCCCCAAACTCTGAGGCCAGCCAGCTCATGGACTCCAGCATGGGTCCAGGGGACAGTACAGTAATGGCCTGGAGGTGCTGTCCAAGGTGGCACACACACTCTGCTCGGATCAGCAAACAGCCAGGTAGGGCAAGTGCTACGACTCATCCTGATGGTTTTCACTGATGGGGAAACTGAGGCAGTGGGAGGTAGCCAACCCTAGGAACACAGTTGGTAAGTGGGAGCCAGGATGGTGATCCTGGCCCTTCCGGTGCCTCTAGACCAGGCGTGTGGGTCCTAGCAGTAGCCCCACAGTGGCCCCGGAGCCCAGCACAGTGGTGCTCAGCCTCATGTCTCCCCACGTCACAGGCGGGGCCGACAAGCAGCAGATGGATGCAGAACTCCGGAAGGAGATGATGGCCATTTGGCCCAACCTGTCCCAGAAGACCCTGGATCTGCTGGTCACACCTCACAAGTGTAAGAGCAAGCCCAGGGGAGGGCAAGGGAGGCTGGGAGAGGGGCCTGGACTGAGTGAGAACTTCCCTGTCCTCCACAGCCACGGATCTGACTGTGGGTAAGATCTACGCGGCCATGATGATCATGGAGTACTACCGTCAAAGCAAGGCCAAGAAACTGCAGGCCATGCGGGAGGAGCAGGTACGCCACTGCTGCGGCGCCCGCATGGGGTCCCAGGCCTGTTGGTCTTCGTGGGAACCAGTCGGAATAAGGAATGTGGTGAGGGCGGGCCATTTCAGCCACACAGGTACTGAGTATCTGCCTGTGCAGGTCGCTGTTTCAGGCCCTGGCCTGGATGTCTGCCCGAGGTAGTTGAAAAGACTAAATGTTTTCATAGTGGCCAATAGTGCCATGGGGGAAAGTGCTAGAGCAAGGGTGTGTGGTGTGAATGGGCTGTCAAGGACGTCCTCCCAGAGGACGGGAGAGCTGAGCAAAAGCTGAGGTAAAGGGGAGGCACTGGAGACCTGGCTCAGCAGTCAGGAGGGAAGCTCCCACCACCCACACAGTGTCTCACAACTGCCTGGAACTCCAGTTCCAGGGGATCTGAAGCCCTCTTCTGGCCTCTGTGGTCACCTGATCATATGTGGTACATATGCGCGCACGATGCACACACACACACACACACACACACACACACACGCACACGCACGCACACGCACACGCACACACACGCACACGCACGCACACGCACGCACACGCGCGCACACACACACACACACTTAGGCCTGCACACATACACATAAAATAGTAAGATAAATATTTTTTAAAAGGTGACTGGAGAGCAGATGTGGTGATATAAACCTTTAATCTCAGCACTCAGGAGGCAGAGGCAGGAGGATCTCCATGAGTTTGAGGCCAGCCTGGTCTACATAGGGAGCTCTAGGCCATATCAAGACAACATAGTATACTGAGAACCTGTCTCAAAACAAAAGAGAGGAAAAGAAAGAAAGAAGAGAGGGAGGGAGGGAGGGAGGGAGAGAGAGAGAGAGAGAAGGAAAAAGGAGGGGTCAGGAGAGCTGGCTCAGCAGTTAAGAGCACCATATGCTCTTCCAGAAGACCCAAGTTCAGTTCCCAGCACCCACATATTG